ACCTCTTAGAGTAAAGAAGTTTCATATTTTGGTACCTGTAAGAGGTAGGCAGCTTCTGAATGTGGTATTTGTTAGAGGTAGTTAGATTCGTAATCTGGTACCTCTTAGTAGGAAACTTCATAATCTGGTACCTCATGCTGGTAGGTAGTTTTATAACCCGTTGTCTGTTAGAGGCGAGTAGCTTTATAATCTGGTACATCCTACAAGTAAGAATGCTTCATTATGTAATGTTAGAGGTAGGTAAATTCATTACCTGGTACAAAATAGAGATTAGTAGCAGTAGTATTAGAAGAGGATTTATAGTTTTGCAATCTGGTACCTGTTAGAGGTAGATAGGTAGATTTATTATCTAGTACCTGTTAGAGGTAGGTAGCTTTGAAATCTGGTACCTGTTACAGGTAGGTAGCTTATAATCTGGTACCTGTTAGAGGAGGGTAACTTTAAAATCTGGTACCTGTTAGAGGTAGGTAGCTTTAAAATCTGGTACCTGTTAAAGGTAGGTAACTTTAAAATCTGGTACCTGTTCGAGGTAGGTAGGTTTATTATCTGGTACCTGTTAGAGGTAGGTAGGTTTAAAATCTGGTACCTGTTAGAGGTAGGTAGGTTTGTTATCTGGTACCTGTTAGGGGTAGGTAGGTTTAAAATCTGGTACCTGTTAGAGGTAGGTAGGTTTAAAATCTGGTACCTGTTAGGGGTAGGTAGGTTTGTTATCTGGTACCTGTTAGAGGCTGGTAGGTTTGTTATCTGGTACCTGTTAGGGGTAGGTAGGTTTGAAATCTGGTACCTGCATGTTAGAGGTAGGTAGGTTTGTTATCTGGTACCTGTTAGAGGTAGGAAGTATCATAACTTGATATCTGTACATTTTACAGTTACAAGCTACATAATAGTACCTGTCAAAAGGTTGGCAGTTTCATTTTCTGGGGGTCGTAACATCAAGGGTACCTAAGTCTAAGATTATGCTTAAGAAGAACCTAAGAATGTACAGTGTTAAACTTAAGACCGTAACTAAAAGCGGGCCAAGATTTGACAATCTTGGCAAAACTTAGGCGGTCGGTAGAGATGACTTTAGTATGTCTTAACTTTTATACATATAATTAGAATTATTAAATGTTGATTCTCAGCGTTAAAACATTCCTCTATTCATATTATGCATTAAAGAAAATAAATATCACTATTAAATACTGTTTTAAGAATTTTAGTTTTTTCATCGGGGGGGGGGGGGCATACATATAGATGCCGAATTTTATTTTTGGGATAGTTTTGAAATACTAGTTGGAACTATGTTAGAAACGCTATCATTATTAGTAAATTGTACAAGGTTATCATGGAATTGTTATGTTCACTGTGAAAATATTAGATGAAATATATTTCCAAAAAAAAAAAAATTCGGTGAATTAGAAGATGATGACTAGAAGGCTAACAAAGAGTGTCTGAAAATTAGATTAAATGTAGAACACGGATTGAGACAGGGGTTCACTACCATCAGAGAGAGAGAGAGAGAGAGAGAGAGAGAGATACAGAGAGAACTGTTAATAACTTGGAGACATGCAAAAACACTTCCTTTCGACCCTTAATAAAATTGTAAATAAGTATATAATAAAAGGTCTTTGTAGAGTCTTTGCATACTGGCATTCGCCGCTGATACATGAAGGGGGATTCAAAATTCTCTAATTTTTTGTACTTTAAATTATAAGAGTTTCAATTTCAAGAAGAAAGACGTTCGGTTATCGTGCCATGTCTGCGAGAATGACAAAGCGAGTGAAAATTTGTCAAAAGAAAAGATTAACTACAAAAGGAAACCGAAAAAATGGCAGTCTCGAGTGATAAACAAAGGGTATGTATTTACAAAAATAAATAAAAATAAATATGTACATAAAATAATATATATAAAAAAAATTTAAAAAGATAAACTTCATCATACATTTTTTTTGGGGTGGGGGGAGCTCCTAAGACATCTTTCTTTTCAAGTGAATATTATGTTAAAATTATTGTGACGATACCCCCTCCCCCTTCATCCCCAAGTTTGAATGCACTATATGCTCCCAAATCAGCAATTTGAGGACTTTAATTGTCTCTCTCCCTTTCTTTTACTTAATTATTACGTTTTACATATTAAATAAACATTAACCTTTCTAGAGAATGATTGATGTGGAACTTTTTAATAAGGGTACAAATTCATGCATATCACCGTTGTAATGCGAGATAACTCGTACGCACTTATGGAGAGATAACTCCTGCTAGCCACCCTGCATGCGGTACCAGATAGCCTCAACCCACATTCTCAAGTCGAATGTCTGATTTCACTACTTACAGGGGTCTGATAGGCTATATTTAAAACTATGTGGGCAAAAAATGTGCGGTTGATTTTTTTTTTTAAATTACATTTAAAACGAGAAGACACCGGCATGGGGACCGGAGGTTCTAATGGGACCATAAAACCGAAAGCCCGGGGCATAGTAGGTAGTGACATAAAAAGGACCCCTCAATGCTTTACTTAAGGTAGTACATGCCCAGCAGTGAAGCTGTCTGGACTTGTACTATAACAAAGGCTATTTATAATTTCACGTATATCAATAATCGATTCATTTCTGCAATGGCGTTCTCCCCTATGTTATCAGCTTTTTGCCTTCTATCAATGTTTGGAATTTTTAGAATCAAAATAATTTAAATTAAATTTTATTAATTGAGAAATAAATTTATGCCATTTTTATTCTATATTGAAATGCACGCAAATATTATACCTGTAACTCTTTTGCACCGAATTATACTGGTTCTGGTTTCTAAAACTCAGTTTAATATATTGATGTACATGTACATATATTTTATACACTATGGTTTAAAAATAGAATTTAATAGGTCTAGAGTGGCAAGTCCATGAGTAAAAAAAAGTTGCATAGGTTACAATGCGGTATTAACGTTCCTGATAATAAAATGTACAGTGTATAATTCAAATTTTTGGAAATTTTAATGGAATTATTTAAATGATACAGAAATTGAAATATTTTCAAAATGTGTAATCACAAGGGAGTTTCAGATGTTTTGGCGATGCGAATTGACAACATTCAAATTCAATGGAAAATTTGAAGAAATATTAAAGAACTAGATGCGGTATGTGCTTATTTTTGCAGCCCACAAAAAAGTCAAATTTTAAAAATTTCTTAAAATGTGCTAAATTGTATATATCGTCTTAAAAATCTGAATTAACAAATAATATCGTAATTTCGAAGTAGGATATTGGCAATTTTTGTTTATATGACGTCACAAACTATTTGGATTTTGTGTTATTTTTCAGAAAAAAAAAAGACACAATTTGTTCAATTTTTACTATATAATGTATAGAGTGCAAACCTAATCCATAACAATATTTACATATTTCATTGATTTATCATTCTACACATTGAGTTGGAGCAGACCTGCGCTTGGCGACTTTTCACTCAAACTCAATAAATTGGTGCAATTCAAGATATTTTTTCTTCAAAAATCAATTTTTGATTATCCATCTGCTAATAACATTTTCGGATAGATCAACATATCAAGTTTGTATTCCCAAAGATTTTTCAAGTTAAGTTCATTGGTTAAGAAATTACGTCAATTTGAAATAAAGGTGTATTGTTTTTTTTTTGCTGAGAAACAAGCGTTACGTTTTATATAATAGTTTTCCTTTAGGATTTAAGATGAAATAATATAGATTGTAATAAATCCTCAATGTCAAAAGCAAATCAGTCTATTTACTTTCGTGATAAGACAAAAAAGGTCAACTGTCATAATGTATTTTATGAATTGATGCAGTCAAATTGTTGAATTATATTTTTTTCTTCAAATGAATTTGACATATCTCTAAAATTTTATATTTCAAATATGCCTCAAGAAAAAAATCAAAACTGCCCAGCGCAAATGGGGGTTCTAAATAAATAGAAGATCCATTTATAGAAACGTTAAATAAAATGTTCATGAATTGAGATCTTGTTCTTATTTACACTTTCAAATGCAACAACGTTCGTATGTAACGAATATTTCATGAGAAGTACATGTAATATTTACTGTTTTTAAGATTAATTCCAACAAAATGGACCGATTCATGAGATGTAATTTCTGCTCTACTTGTGCCATGGTACTGAAAATGTCAAAAGAAATCATAATTTGAACTGCATCATATATATCATCGTATCATATTTTCCTTGAACTGTACTATATGTACAAACGGATAAGAGATATATGTATCAATGAAAACTTTCTTCGTATTTCTGCTTGGGTCAATGCCATAGTTCAACTAAAATGAAATGCTGAAACGTACGTTACTTAACATAAAATGCGAGTTTAACAGTATCAAAATTATAAGAGAGAAACAAAAAACCCTGATGTAGATTCAGAATAGAAACTCAAGCCTTTGTTTAATCAATATCATATGATTCAAACTAAAAATGTCTTTCAAAATAATTTTAATTAATGTTTTTCTTCAGAATTAATGTATGTGTTCAATAATGCGTCTCTAGAATCAGTTTATAATAAAATTTATGCAACTTAAGCTTAAAATGATACAAATCAATCAATAAAGTTTACATTCGAACAATTAATCATGAAAGAAAATCTGTAAATATTGTTGCAATTTTCATATGATTTGTTAAAAATTTCGTAACATTGGTTACCTTCGGTAACGAATGTTTCAACACCTTTCAAGACTAATATCTAGGACATTCAGGTGTAGATTGAAACTGGTTGCGTAGTTGTTGTCGGTCGTTATATAAATATTAACAGTTGCAAAATAATTCATTCCATTTCATTCATTGTTATTGCATTCTAGAAAACAAACTCACCAACACTGTCTAGACTTAAGAAAAAAAGTCATAAAAAGGCAGTACTGTACTGCGGATGTCAAAATTTGAATACTGGCGCAAAATTCCCTCCTTTCGTAATGTTTGCTTATACGAGTTATCGTTTCTGCGGGACGGTATGTAAACTTCCGGTAAAGAGTTGCATAGCGCCATATTCCAAACGATGCGATGGAACCACTTCGTAATGAAGGCACAGACTTGCCGTTATCATTCAATACCACGATGGAAGACGTACTTAATTATCAGAAATCTCAAATACAAACATTTCTGCGAGTAAATCACATAAAAGTGAGTGGCAACAAGCTGGAACTTGCCCAACGTGTAGTGAAGGCTATAAAAGATCGTTCGTGCACGACGCCCAGTCAAATACCCCCACATCAATCATGTCAAACTTCAGATGTACCTGTACCAGATATAAAGGACCTGCATTCAGGTTGGGCAGGTAAATCGGATATGTTTCCCAACATTAAAATTCAAGATGTGGAGAATTATTTGATCCACAGTAGCCACAGGACTGTCGATGCAAAGAAAATGCAGTGCTATAGACAATATATTAGAGGATTAAATTTTTTCAAAGAGGGCTACATACATAAAATTATGATGAATGAGATAAATCCTGACAGTGAGTATTGCTATATACGATCAAAATGCTATCCTTCAATGAAGCAGGGTGTGTATGAGCAGTGGATCCTAATGACAAAGAAACCCCCTTTTCACGTCCAGAAAGCAAGTTGCACGTGCCCAGCAGGGTATGAATTACCAGTATTAACTAAATGAAAATCACTTTCTTAAATGATATAAATATGCCAAATTAAAATTATGAAATAAATGGATTATTTCTCTCATTATTTAATTATGCATGCATTCATAAAACAATAATTCTAACAATGAACACTTCAATTTAATTTTTGATATCTCAGTGAAAAGCATTATTTAATCAAATTGATAAATGTTATAAACTCTCATAGCTGATATGAATCCATGTATATGATTATGTTATGTATTTGCAGCCTTGGTGAAGGATGTACCCATGTTGCTGGACTGTTGTTTGCCCTGGAAGGACGCCCTGTGACAGACGATGATGTTCCATGCACTTCAAAGCCTTGTGAGTGGAATCGACCCAGCAAAAGAAAGAAAGATACTAAACCTGTGCAAGACATGAGTTTCAAGAAGATCAAATTATCTGGAGAAAATGTAAAGAATAAAAAAAACTGTGAATTATAAAGTAGATAGCATAAAATTCAGAAACTCATTGTGTGCAAAACTTGGAAATAACTCACGTGCTGCTATTTTTTACATTCTTCCCCCATGTGCTAATAACAATATTGATGTACAAAGTGACCTCAATATTGGTCATTTTGAAGAAGTAGAGACTAGTGACCATATTTTTCACCTTTCTGACAAATATATTGCGTTACAAAAAACTGTTCAAGATGAAAATATGTCTCAATCTGACTTTTTGACTTTTATATCCACATGCAGTCAAGAAATAGTTGATGAAATTGAAGTTCGAACTAAAGGGCAACATAACAATCCTTTGTGGGTTTCAGCTCGAGCAGCTCGTATAACAGCTTCAAATTTTCATGAAATTAAAACAAAAAAGGACTCCACAAAATCGGAAAATATCATATGTAGACTCTTGGGTCAGGGTAAACCTTTAGAAAATAGTGCTGTGCATTGGGAGATTAAGCAAGAACCCATTGCTAAAAAAAGGTACATAGCTTACATGAAATTGAAGAAAAAACAGAAAGTCATTGTTGAAGATATGGGGTTGGTTTTGTATACACATTGCTCTTACTTAGGTGCAAGCCCTGATGGCTTAGTGAAGTTTGAAACACACAAATATCTTTTGGAAGTAAAGTGTCCTTTTAAATGGAGACAGTGTACTATTTTAGAAGCGTGCAAGGATAAAACATTTTGTTGTTATATTGACGATACCAATACAATTCAGTTAAAGAAAAGTCATAAATATTATACCCAGGTGCAGGGTCAGATGGGTGTATGTCAAATGGAGAGATGTGAATTTGTTATTTATACGATCAAAGACTTTTTAGTCATTCCCATCCAATTTGACAACTCTTTTTGGGAATCATTACTCATAAAGCTAAATAAATTCTATATTGAAGAGCTCTTTCCAAAATTGAAAAACTAAGACGAAGTTTTATGAGCCTTTGAATTGCATCATTTTGTGTAAAATGATAAAACATAGTCTATGCATATATCCAATGTTTTATTTCCTTTAATATCATGTGTCATTTGACAATATTGACATTGGTGAACCATGTTTTCATCCTTAATGACAAAGTATGAGTGTAACTTCAATAACTGGTGATGAGAGAGTTTACAGTTTTAGTACACTTGTCTTCTTTGTATAAATTGTTTAAAGATCTGTTTTACATTATTCACTGTATTTCTGTAAATATTAGTTACTTAGATACACCATACTTTTAAATGTATAAAATTGTTAAAGCTGAACACTACTCATAAATAAAACCTGTATATTTGATGTTACTATTCCCCTGCCTTAATATAAGTGCATAAAGTTTGATAATTCCATCCTGACAGAATAACATGGCAATGCAAAGTGTGTGTCCACACAGGTGAGACATGCACAGCGAAGAACTCTAAACTGTTTAAAGAGGTCTGGACTTATGCAAGGGGTTAATTGTAGGGATAGTGATGAGTAAGTGAAAAATATAGCAAACTATGCCTTTTATGAGTAGTGTTCAGCTTTTAGTTGATCAATCCAAAATTAGAAACAATATTTTTATACAAATGTACAACATACTGGTACATGTATGAATAAACATGTATCATACACCGGGTAAATGGGTACATGTATATGTAAAATATACACATGTGATACTGTTCATATTAAAGTAAGATTAAGAAATAAAATTAAAGTAAAACAATTCATTTCAGTTTTTTATAAAACATATCATGTTCAAAGAGTAAGTACCAGTAATTTATTCAGACACCAGGGATGGTAGAAGGTTGGTAAAAGCAGTACACACAAAGAATATTTGGTCAGCAAAGTCACTTATTGCTAAAGGCATAATACCCTGTAAAATTCTAAAATTCTTTATCTGTTCCATCTTGCGTTCTACATGAATTCTTGCAGAAGCTATTCTACGAGTAGTTTCTACTTCACTCCTACTAAACTGGAGTTCTGATTTAAAAGGCGGACAATAAAGTTTAACACCTTTACATTTCAAATCATTAGCTATATGAATAAAACCTTTTTCAACCATGACTGCATCTCCTCTCATAAGAAGATGTATCAAACCACAATTTCTAGTAATTTCAACATCAGAAGCTGATCCTGGCCAGAGTTTTTAAATAAAAACTACAACCCCTGTCATACTTACTCCAACCAATGCTTTGAATGTGTCGTGTGATTTGTAATTAGAAAAAGTCAGGGACTTGTTTTCTAAAGAAGATGGACTTTGGATGAAAATCTCAGTGCAGTCTAAAACTACACGTGTGTCTGAAAAATTTGTGAAACATTTAGGAACATGTAGCTTCAAAACTTCAAGCTCCTGCAAAAAAACAAGAGATTGCATGCACTCATACATAAAAAGTATCCAGGAATTGAAAATTTTTGACACAGCACTTGAAGACAGTTTAAAACGGAATTCCAGATCTTTCAACAGTAATCCTAATCTAAGTCTCATCATCACTAACAAAAATTCATCTACCCTTCTCAGTTTTCTTTTACGACCTAACTTATTGTTATTCATTGTGCCCAAAACCTCTGTTGACAGCTTGTCTGCTCCTTGTTCCATTAGCGAATAAAATACTGCGAAAAAAGTGTCACTGTCAGTCATTCCTGTGTAAAACATCATCAACTCATTAGAATGTTGTATAGACTCAATCATAATCTCCGGTAGGTTGGTATCTATTCCAACAGAAACTAAGGACTGTGAAAAGGTTTGGGTCTCTTTGGACATATTTCCTGATCCACTGGGTTCTTCATGTGCCATCAAATCAACCAATTCACTAGCAGAATACCTACAAATTTAATATAAAACAGTTTCAGCAGTTCAGTCCATTAACTGGGTCAGCTAAAAAAATCACATTATATGTCCAATCATATAAAAAACATCCAGGAGATATTCTGATACAGTAAACATTCTTCTAAATGTAAACCAACTCACTGTAATTAATAAATTAAGAAGGGAAGGGGGTGGTGCATGAGCCCCATACTGTTAATTAAAATAGTTGCCTATAAACACTTCATATAAACAATAAATATGTGTTTATGTTTCTTATACTTCAGAATGATTATGGTTGTCAATCTTTGAGTCCATAATTTTTTTTACAGTATTAGATAGCAACTGAATGCTACATGTACAGTGTAGTACTCACGAATGGTGATTCAATATCCCTGCTTTGTCTGTGGTATTAACTGAATTGTCTGCACGTTCTGGGCCCCTGCATATTCTCTTGGGTGGATCCCTTCTTACGAGTATCTTTTTCTGTTTTTGAGGCAAGTTTTCGCTCGGTATTTTATTTCTGTCCTGGGAAGTTGGCCCGACACCATCTTTGAAATGATCTGAGCACACACGAGTATAACTACTTGGCTTCCAGTTTTTTTCTACTGATCAAGCGAATCCACGCAAGTCTTGTGTATACTTCTTTAGGAAGTTCATGTAAAGTTACATGCCTTCCAAATGAACCAACCCTGCCACTAAAATTGTGACAGTTTGTGACACAACAATAATATTTTCCCATGTTTTTCGTCGCTTCGTAGCCTAACCGGAAGTTTATATACCGTCCCCCAGGAACGATAACTCTTACAAGCAAACATTACGAAAATCTGGAATAGTTGACCACGTATATGTGCAGAAGATGTTTGAACTCATAAATCATTCTTTTTTAAGAGGTTTGGTAACGAATGTTTCGGTAACGGTTGTTTCATTTAATCATTTTCTCTTAAATAGTAAGCTAACAATAAGACATTGTTAAATCATGGTTGGAGCATGGAATACAGTTGTTGGATAGAAGAAAAAGTATCACATGTTTAACTATGATATCATTCTATTTCATCTATTAAACTAATACAACGAATGTTTCATGCCTATCCATACGCATGTAAAATAGGAAGATAGAATTTAATTTCAAAGTATTGGTAACATATACAAGGCTCTGTACGATTTATTTTTAATTTTCAAGAAGTTTCCTTTAAAATAAAACGTATTCCAATCTTACAGGCATACAATACCGAATACTCATACTATATTTAATGTCACAGTCCGTTTTTATTTTGTTTCTGGCGACATGGGGATATCAAATCAAAGTTTGGTAACATATTTGTGATTATGCTCAATAATTTATTAAAAGCATTTTACAAATAAATGTTTTGAAGACATATGCTATCTAATTTAAAATTGAACTGTTATTTGTACAAAAAGTAGCCATTTAAGTGGAATTATTCGATGTTGGCGACAGTAACGTACGTTTCAAAAAATCACTTTATGCCAAATAAAATATCTCAATATGATTTGTTCACTCCATTTTTGTATTTTTGCCTTAAAGGTTACATATTCATGCATCCAGTCAAAAAGTATTTTCTTTGACATTTCATTATTTCTTTACGCTTAACCCCCAGCGACATCATTTGCACCATTTTAATGAACTTGAGTGTTTTACTCAAAATATCGACGTAATATTCACCTTTTTCTCAATAATTCATAGAAATTTTGAATAAACATCATTTTCCTGACGTCACATCTAACATATGACGTCATGGCTGATGAAAATATTCAATGCTTCGAAGCCTGAGATATCCCCATGTTTTAGAATAATTATCTATTTCTCCGTCAAAGCTTGATTTTAGGGGCAAATATTGGTCATTACCGAATATAGTCTTTTCGTCGTCATATTAGTCCTTCGACCTCAAATGTTGACGTTCATTTTCATTGTATATTAAGATTTAAAGGGCCTGGACACAGATTTGAAGTTAATATTTTCTCAAATTACCTATATAACATCATGAATAATATGTTGCTAGAGCATTTGACACGGAATATAATAAAAGTGTGTTCAAAAAGTTCTCTTATTTGGAAATTATTAACTATACGAATTTTGCGAAGCGTTTGGTTAACACATTTTTTCCACTTTCACTAAGTAAACTTTATATTTTATATTTAAGAAAAGTAGAAATTTTGTTGTGTATTAATAAAATATATTAAAACTATAATCCAGAAAATTCAGACTAGAATTGTGAGAAAGCACAACCAAATCACCAGTATTGTCAGTCCGTGCTTAGTGATGTGTGCGGAGTTTAACAGAGTTAACAAATTAAACACACCCGGTAAAACGTTAGCATTAACAATAACAGAGCTCGTGTTCTGTTTGGAAAACCAGATGTTTGATGTGAAGAAGGATGTCATTGTCATTGAATTCTAAGAATATTCATGTAATTTCAATTTCTTTAACTGATTTTGTTTTTTTTTAGATAAACATAGAAATTTAAAATGTAACAATATACAATGCCCTTTTACATGTAACAGTATTAAAAACATTAGTCACAACATAGGTCTTTATTATAGCTTTGAAAGAAACATACGTTAAAGTCAAATCACACGTAAATAAAGAAATATATTCAAAATGTAAGCTTCAAAATGTCCAAAAATCACAAATCACAAAAAAATCACAAAATTATATTGATGGTTGCTCCATATTTTTCAATCATGAATAATTAGAAAACAATTCAAAAACATTATTTCATGTATTCATTACTATAAACAATTTATAAATTGTCACTCTCTAGAAAAGACTTTTCAAGTCCTCCATTTAAGAAAACATGCTATAAATTCTCTAATACATACAATGACGCTTTTGGGCAAATTGAAGAACAGCCTGTCGGATCCGGAGGATGGGCAAAGTAAACAAATAACAGCAGAAAAAAACATATGTACAACAATCCTCAATCACTAAATAATTGTAATTTGAGCAATTTGTTTTGGTAAGTTAAAAATGTGTAATTTGATATAAGTCAATTACTTTCTCAAGAAATTTTTCATTAAACAGAACATGAATACTCAAATAACTTAAACTGTAGAAATATTAAAATTAAATAACATCTCATGAACATTTGTTTTTTTTAAAAATACACATCTGAACACTGTTCAAACAAAAAGTCTGTAAGCCAATGCTCACTAATAATACCCCGATCTGACGTTAATATACACTCTTATGTACACAAGTACAGGTACTGAAGACACAGGGATAAACAGGAAGTTTACATCGGATTCGTACAAAATCACATCATATTGCATGCCTAAAGAAGGAGTGTGCTATAATTTCAAGCATCTATGATGAGTTGTTTCTGAGGAAACTGCGACGAAAATCGGTTACGTATGGTACGGACAGACACACAGGAAGTTGACATCGGGTTCGTACAAAAATGAATCCCAGCAGATGAAATGCCTAATCAAAGAGTGTGCTAAAATTTCAAGCATCTGCAACGAGTAGTTGCTGAAAAAAACTGCTACGAAATTTGTTATGCTGCGGACAGCTGCACGGATAAATAGGACGTTGACATCGGATTCATAGGAAAAACAAATCCCACCATATGGCATGCCTAAACAAAGAGTCTGCTAAAATTTCAAGCATCTGCGATGAGTATTTGCTGAGAATTTGTAACGGACAGACACAGACAGCTAGACACACACACAGACACACAAGGGTAAAACAGTATACCCCCTCTCCTTCAGAACAGGAGTATAATGAATACATATTCAAAGAAGCCTGTTTCTATTTCTCTAAATAGTGGCATGCGCAGGCTTTCGTATTGTTTTGATCCAAGACATTTTGATGATGCTTAATAGCATTTCATTTAAACTTTTCACTTTTCCCTTCAGACCTTTGCAATTTTTAGAATAACAATAAAGAAAAGGTGTAAACTAGGACGTGTAACGCAATCACATATATGCAAGTATTAACATTTCATTAGTTACAATTCCAGTTTTATAAGGTACGTATTCTAACCCGTACATACAATGCAATATTTAAGCAACACGGTTTTAGTAACTTGACTACATATACATTATTTTCTTATCCCTTTTCTTATCCCTTGACTATGGTGAGATAATGCTAAACATTTTCTTGTACAGTGATTAAATATCAACCAAAGCCATTGCACATGCTGTAGTGACTGATCTTCTATCTATATACATTTAATATGCAACTTCAATCTTCATTTATAGTTTAAAGTATCTTTTCTTTTGGTGTAATTGTTTTATAATGGTCAAATTTAGCTTCAAAAAGCTCATGATGTTTAAGAGGGTGTTCAATACTGTCCCATTTTGACATGAATTTATCTGCAAATCTTTTCACCAAGTGCTTGCCAATGATTCTTGCTTGAGTGTTCTTCTTTGGATTAGCAAAACCACAACTGAATTCAGTATTGAAACTATCAGTTGGTCTCATTAGCTGAAGAAGAATTTCTATCTCACAATTTTGAACGACTGGTAAGAAAAGCATTTCATCATGTGCAGTAGCTTTGAATAAAGCTATTGTCAAGACTTCATGATAAAGTGTTTCCACACCGTTGTCTACTCTAATGAGCCAAGGCATTTTTGAAGCAGTATTGGTAAGAGCCTCTTCGTTTAAATATGGATCAAGTGTACCTGCCCAGCTGGTCAGCTCATCTCCATATTTGTGTTTTCTAACACACATCAAGTAAACAAGACTGTAATATTCAATTGAACTTGAATCATTTCTCATTTTCTGAAAGCGTTGTGTTAACGACTGAAGTGGGTTTTTGGTGAAAGCTTCATCAGAAAATAAATCATGCAGGTGGCAGTACATCAAACTAAGAAATGGGCTTCCAATATGACCCTGGTTTTCTTTAAATTTATCAATCACAAAGGTGAGATCAACACCTTTGAACCAACAACTGGGATCTGTTTTACAGTGACCCTCTTTTTGTTGCTCTTTCAAAATTAGCAGCAATTCAGATTTTGTTAGTTTGACTAAATCAGCAGTAATATTTTTGTTTTGAAGGAGTTTCAGATTAGCATTTCTCCTGACTTCATCAAATACATGTTGGTGGATTCCAACAGCAACTTTAATATTCCTTGATTTTTCGCACATTTTCTCGAGTAAATTTTCAATACTTGATATTTTATTTGATGAAAATGTATTACAACCGTACCTTCCAAAAAGATTGTCACAAATCACAATTGTTTCATCTTTCAAATTTTCCTCTAGAGGAAGTAAACTTTCCTCCATCCATCTTACTTTCCATCCTTTTACTTTATACCTGTTCCGGATTGCTTTTAAAGCATGTGTTTTACCACATCCAATGGCTCCTTTACAGATCACAACATTCCCTGTCTCCAGAGACTGAAGTGCAGACCTTATCCCTTCAGTTATCACAATGCCTTCCTCAACAGAACAGTCTGGGTTCAGCTTTGTACCTACACAAAATATATTTACTTGCTACCATTGATATTATTTTAATAGCAAAATAAGCATCTGTAGGGAAAAAATTAAGCAATGAAATATTTGGAAGTGTATTTTTTTCAAAAAATTAAAAAAAATTCAGTCAACATAAATTACTCACTCTGTATTTTTTCTTTTATCTCCCCAAAACCTTCGATCTCATCTGTTGCTTGATTTTGTTCATTCTGAACAGCTGGAGTCCCGTACTTATTCTTCATCCTGTTGAACACATCATCTAAATTCTTAAAGTCATTATTATTATCACAGTATTTATTCCACATAGACCGAATTCTCTCAATATCAGCACCAACTGTTCCTTCTTCATCTGGAGGTTCATAGTCCCAACCTCTCATTGGCGGTTTGACATTTTCACAAAAGTTTCTTAGCAAAGCAAATACCAGAGACATGTCCAGCTTAATGTAATCATCAGCTTTCTCAACACTGTTGAGATCCTGTAGAACTGGTTCTGTGAAATGTTCTCTAAGGGATTTTGAGTGAATGATTGATTTTTCTTTTAAATCCTTGACATCTATCTCCCTCTTTAATATGTGAACCAGGTACCTCTGGAGAATGTTGAGCTTTCTTATTCTCATTTTCATTTCCTCTGTGAAAGATTTAATAAGTAAAAAGTAAAAATTTTAAGCATTTCAAAATTATTTAAAATAATATGGAATTTTAACACCCGGGCACCTTTTTAGACACTTAAGGATGCATGCACATCTAAATATGTTATAAACTATGCAAGATAAATGTATATAAATGAAAAAAAATCTCTCTGTTTTACAATACATGTATAAAGCAAGTGTGTATTAATTTCAAAGGCCTTTCCAAAACATATGCTATATACATCAATGCATGTTTATAACTCACGAATATACCTTGATCGTTTCCATAGTGTGACTATAAAAACTTGTGTGCTAAATCACTTCCCAGTCAAACAAGGATAGATGGATGCTTGGACTGTGAAATAGTCAATATACCAATGGAACTTTTAGCAAGTAAATCTCAGGGAATAAATATGGCTTCACTTGAAAGTTGACATTATTTTTTTTTTACCCTTTAATGACTTTTAAAACTACCAACCCTCTTATGACAGCAGTTTTTTCCCATCTTGTATCCAAATTATTCAAAATTATACACTTAGCTTTTAAGTAGTTTAAATATGTTTGCTGGTGTTTGGACATAAATTGGTGTTTTAAGGTCAAGATGTACATTGTAGTAAATTAAAGATGCAGATTTCTTAAATTGGAGAAGTAAATTCCTTCTCTGATGCTTTATAACCATAGCTTGGTAAAAGATTATTGGGACATAGTTTTTAAGGTAAACACAATTGAAAAACACATCTTAAACTGTCATTTACAATGAAAATTATGGGAAGTTTTTTTCATATCGACGAAAAAGATCCAAGACTGTCTACAGTCTCTCAGAAAATTGTAATTTATATACTTTTGACATGATTTCAGATTGAATTCCATGAAAATGCTTCATTTTCTACACACTTCAATTATAGTTTGTAACATATGGAAAAAAGTAACTTTAAATCAATGATGATGTCATAATGGATCTACCACCAAAAAGACAGTATAAACTCACTTATTAGATCTCGACCTTAAAACATGTTTTTAAAAAATGTATGTGTCCAACATAGAATACTTTAATACTGGAATATGTGCATGGTTTGCCAAAACCCTCAATTGATATGAAGGCATTTGTATGTAAAGGATAGCACGTTTTAAGTAAATATGGATACAACAAAAGTTATCATTTTTACTCAGTAAAAGAAAATTAAATACATGTACCAAACTGATATTAATGAATTAAAAATGTAATAATTTCTGCATCTGAGTACTAGTTTGCTTTAACCATGCTTTAATTACTCTATATACATCTAATTTCGGCCAGGTGAACAAGTTTATTTAACACTGATAATTATACCTGAGTGCTTAAAATAATCGTGTAAACAATAAAAATAAAATAAGAGTATTTATTTTCAATTTTAGCGGAACATTAGTGGCGCAATTCATGATTGCGCCAACCACTCCATACATGAACCTGGTGACTGCGCTAAATTTTGAATACGTCAATTTGAGTACACATACAGTATTGTTTTTTTTTTATTGTTATTTTACACTATTTTTTTTCAATTCTGATTTGAAAAATTTTAATATGAAAGAAATATGAAACAATAAAATTCCCCCAAAATCACCTTTTTGTCCATTTAAGGTAGAAACTATGTCGGAAAAGTCTTTGTCACAAGATTTCCAAACTTTTCTAAATGATAATAAGCACTCGCTTATCAATCAGTTAAAAACATATGCAGTAAAATTCGGTTATAACAAAGTCACTGGGACTTGTGAAATTACTTCGCTATATCCGTAATTCGTTATATCCGTATAAGGAATTCGTTAAATTTATATAGCTGGGGATCCAAGAAAACTTCGCTATATTCGTGAATTCGCAATATCCGTGTTCGTACTAAACGAGTTTTACTGTGGTATGTTAGTAAATGTGCAACTTGGAGTGATAATTTTACACTGCGACTACATATTTTCAGTTATTTTTTGGGATACTGGTCATAAAGAGAATATAGGAAATCACAAAAATACTTCTTCAAAAATTTCGTTTATAGACTTCAATAACTGAACCGTATTGAAGCAATATTATTCAAGAATAAATTCTTAATTAATCACTTGACATAAAAGACTAAGTCCACATTTCAACGAATATACGCAAATGTGCTCTATATTTTTTAAAGTCAATTTACCACCTAAATTTGTAAATATTTTTCAAAAGTCTTTGTCAGAATGTTTTCAATCTACAATATGACGAAGAACAAACCCAAATAATTACAAAAAATGATTAAAATATATACTTTTCCTCGCAAACTAATGAGAGACACTCTATTTATCAATACTTCTTTTGTTGACCATTTTGCACTTACACCTGATTTAATTATTAAATGACTGTATTGGGATTAAGTTCAGATTTACAAAGTGAATATTTATCAAAAGATACGTTTTTATTGAAATCACTTTAAATGCTTGATAAAAATAATGTTATAAAGTGCTTACTTACACTGCTTCCATTTTTAAAGTCATTTCATGCTTACAGCTTTTTAATTTTTTATTATCTTCTTCTTAATCATGCGAAAGCAAGCGAACCTAATCTAATTGGCTTAGAATCATCAAACTTTGTCAGTTGATGCATTTTTGGTCCTTGGAATACAACAACTGAAAAGTAGGTCACTTTGACCTACTTATAAAATTTTATGGTTATAATTTTAAAAAAAATATTTTAGGTATTAATTGGCTTAGAATCATCAAACTTAATTGATGGGTCCTCAGAGAATGACAAGTGATAAGTAGGTCACCATGACCAACTCTCAGGTACTAGTTGGCTTAGAATCATCTTGGGTTCTTAGAGTGTGAATTTCAAGGGTTTATCTAAAAATACAGGATACTTAGAGGCTTCAAATAGAAGTGATAGGTAGTACAGTTTATCAGAAGAGCGATTCAAGGCCCTTGGGCCTCTTGTTTTAAAAAAGATAATATTTTAGGGAAACATTATTATTATACTCCAACCATTATGAATAATTAACAAATAATTATGAAAAGAAATGCACGTTATTTCATGATAGACATTACACAATTTATATACAATCTTTAACAGTTTTTTGACTCAAACACATTTTATCAAGATATTGTACTAATTTAGATTTCTTAGGATTTTTTCATTCCTTCAAAATAGTTGCATGCCATTCATATTATCACAGTTGTGTAACTTCATTACATGAGACAGTCTTGAATTAAAGCCGTAAAGTACGGGAAAAAGTAACAGTAAATTGATTTTGACGTAATAATGGATCTAGCATAAAAAAGACGGACTAAAGTCATTTACTCGATATGACGTCATACAACGTAGGTTCTACGTTAAGTCAATTCCTTAAATCTAAGCCCAAAAAGAGCTTTGATATGAGTTTTCTTACAAAAATATTAGATTTGAAGTGACCCTATTTAACATTATTAACTGAATATCATACAGTTTCAAAGTACCATATCATGAGCTCATACACATGTATAAATGCCAATAATCAAAAGCCTGCCTCAATTCAAGAATTTTAAGTTAAATTAAACTGCCCAAGGTATTTTTTGCAAAGTAGGTCAAAGATCAAGGTCAAGTGGATTGTAATGCTGGTATTTTTCATAATGTCTTATGACAAGCAGTGCACATGCTGAATAGCATATACGTACCCCTTAAACGTCACAAATATGTTGTATATCGACACTATGAACTATTTTAACAAAGTAGGTCAAAGGTCAAGGCTCACAAGGTTGATAACTATAGAAATTTACAAAAGCCATAGTGCCAAGCAATATATGTGCAAAATATCAAACCCATTACTCTTACAGTTCTCGAGATATGGGGCGTGGCAGACAGTCGGACGGACAGACAGACACTGAATAAAGTGATCCCTAAGTGCCATCATCTGCTCTGCATGGGGACACAAAGAGATACTGATATTCTTTTAAATAAGGTCATGTTAGGTTCTAGATGCCAAATTGAAATACTGAGAACTATCAATAACATACATCACTAGAAATACGTCCATAGGATATGAATGCCCCGTCGAGGGTATATTAGAAAAGCAAAATGAAAATTTGTATTAGTGTATGAAATTTGATGAGAATATCTTGAATAGTTTCTTTAAAATTGAAATTGAAATCTAAAAAGTTGCACATAGATGATAAATTTTTACCATATTATGTATTAGTGCATAAGGTTACATAAATATATCTTAAATGGTTTCTTTAAAATTAAGCAAAATGCAAATTTAAGAAAAGTGAGGTCAAGGTCACAGGAAAGTTCAAGGTCAACCGTTTTTGATGCAGTTGAATAGTTCTCACAAATACGTATCAGCATATTAAGTTTAATAAAAATATTTTGAATGGTTTATTAAAAAAACTGAGCTAAACACTAATTTAAAATAAATGAAGGAAAGGCCAAGGTAAAAAAAAAATGTTCATGCAGTTTAAAAGATTACATCAGTATGTATTAGCATATGAAGTTTGATTAAAATATTATAAATGGTTTCTTTAAAACTGGGTTAAACACAAATTGAGAAAAGTGAGGTCAAGGGTAAAGGAAAGGTCAAGGTCGGAAAATATTGATGCAGTTGAATAGCTTACACCAGTATGTATCAGCATATGAAGTTTGACACTAATTTAAGAAAAGTGAGGTCAAAGTCAAAGGAAAGGTCAAGGTCAAAAAATGTTGATGCAGTTGAATAGTTCTCATCAGTATGTATCACCTTATGAAGTTTGGCAACACTATATTGAATGGTTCCTTTAAACAGAGTGAAACACTAATTTAAGAAAAGTGAGGTCAAGGTCAAAGGAAGGATGAAGGTAAAAAATATTGATGCAGTTGAATAGCTCTCATCAGTATGTATCAGCATATGAAGTTTGATAGAATTATCTTGGATGATTCCATTAAAACTGAGCAAAACACTAATTTAAGAAAAGTGAGGTCAAGGTAAAAAAAAAAAAGGTCAAGGTTAAAAAATGTTGATGCGGTTGAAACGCTAACCTCAGTATGTATCAACAT